TATGATTCTATGTTTCTTTTACACATTCACACATAGGTGGCTCATGAAGCAAGCTGTCCCACATGCGCGCAACAGTGCCTTTGTTATCAGCAGTGGGCATTTTTTCTCTTGCAGGACTGGGGATAGAGCTTATCAAGTAGCTTTTCAAGATTGATACATGTGAGGAAATTTATGTGAAGATTGGACACAGGGTCAGTCCTGGTTGATTGGTTTCCTGGTTTCTTTGAACTTTCTTTAGGTCAGATTCAGATTGTAATCATACATAGTCATACCACGTTATTGGGCGTTGCATGTGTTGACCGTTTGACAGTATTGCGCCCGTAAACTCATAGCGGCGTTGTGTGCAAGCCACTGTCGTACCAAGTGACATGAAGAACTTGCAAGGGCGCATGGCTAATTATGCATGCATGACATTACATATAATGATGGATAACCTCTGACTGTTCGACAGGACCGGCCTGAAGCCAGTGCACCGGCCGAAGAGGCTTGGAAAGGGTGGAAGAGCGTGTTTGGGGCATGCTTTGGCTGGGTCTCCAGACAGTACCTGAAAGGTTCCTGAATGGATGTGCTCATGTTTGGGGTCAGATTTTGCCTCACGTGCCAGACATCCAGAATCCATACGAGACAAAATGATACTTGTGCTGCTTGTGCTTGTTTGGGAATGATGCCACGACCTGCTTCAAACAGCGGGCAGAAGCTTCCCAATAGCAAACTGTGTGGGATTCCTTGGTGGTTCGCGCTGTACTGAAGTGCAAGGCGGGGATGCTTTGTGGGGTGATTTGCCAGGTGAAGTGCATTGTTTATGGAGATGTGGTGGTTTGGTGGGTTGTGATGTGGTCAGGTGTAGTTTTTTTTTTTTTTGTATGATGCCCGGTGAATTTGTCATGTGGCGAACGAAGTGTTATAAGTTAGCCAAATGCCCAGGCACCTAAGTGGTGAGCTTGCTGAGACTTGAACTAGTCAACTAGTTGGGCCAAAGCCGCTCGCTTCGCCCTGACGGCCCAGGCTGCACCGAGCTTGGTCCCCGAGCTCGGCTTTCAGGCGCAGTTTGCGTCGTGCGGCACGCGTGGGGCCCGGTGCGTCCTCGGGGGACCCCGATCGCCGTGGCCGAAAGGAGGGCCTGCCGAATCAGGAGGACATGATGTTGAAGCCATGATTCAAGAGGCTAACTGCGGCTAACATATGCATCCAGGGGTTGAGTGACTGGGGTTCTTTCACTGACTCATTGAGTCATGCCTGTCAAAAAGACACAGATCGTAAGTCTGCAGATCTTCTTGTCGAAGACACGTGGTGTCCAGTGGACTCTTGACTAGCTAAGTTAGGAGAGGTCATGGTGCCCAGTGCTGCAGCTTGCACCAAAGACGATCCTTGAATGGAAGTTTGAAATGAAGGCTGTGCTTTTTGGTTTTTTCTGTTGCATGGCAAAACCTGTAGATCGTTCCATGCTGTTTGTAGTTTGTAGGATTGTAAACGGTGTTGTATGTTCACCTACGTAGGCTTGGCAAATATCCACTGGCCAGGCCGAGCGCTCCCAACAGGAGGGGAGGTGCAGCCAGACTTGGGGCTTGTGGAAACAGTGGGACCATATTGGAACCAACTCTGGCGCTGGGCATGGACCATTTTGTCACGAAAGGTAGCTTCAGCTACTTGAGTTCAATTAGCTTTAGCTACAGGGCAGGATCTCCCAATTGTACTGGTACGCTTCGTGTGATTGGATTCGTATCGAGCTTCTCCTCCCTCCTCGTCATTTGGCTATTGCTGCTGCTTTAGTGTGATTGGATTCGTATGGAGCTTCGCCTCCGTCCCCGTTATTTTACTTCTTTTCTACGTGTGATGCAGCTGTGCTGTGATTGGATTCGTGTTGAGCTTCTCAGCTGCTGCTGCTGCTGCTGCTTTGTTGCTGCTGCTGCTTTGTTGTTGCTGCTGCTGCTGTTGCTGCTGCTCTTCAAATCCCACAGATCTCTCTCTCTCTCTCTCTCTTTTTTCTTTTGTTCTTTGTTTTATCTTTCTCTTCTCTCTCTCTCTCTCTTCCTTCTCTCCCTCCTCCCTCTCTCTCTCTC